TATTTGGGGTATGCGAAAAAGACTACGGTATTGACTATGGCGTACGCCGAAATGACTACGGTATTGATTTTGGCGTACGCCATAACCACTACCGTAGTCGAAGCAGATGGGTAGTGAGATCGGCGTCCTACACCGGCGTCGTTAGCAGCCATCTTTTGGACTCAAAAGCGGCGCGCGTTCCGCAGGCGGCGACAGTCACAAAAACAAAAACAGGCGCGGTAACAACAAGAAACTGCAAAGCAGACGACATCAGTACCACGAAAAAAATAAGTCAAAATAGCCCGACAAACCATTTTTTTATCGATTATGTGTTCATTCAATGCGTTTTATTAGTAAGGATGATAAAATAATGAATTGGCAACTGATATAAAAAAGCTAGCGCCGCTTTTGAGTCGAAAAGATCGTTTGCTAATGACGCCGGCTCTCGGCGCCGTATGCTCGTTCGTTGGCGGCAGTTGGCGTCGCGACCGCTTGCGCCATCTCTTGTGTCCCGTGCGAAACGGCGCCGTATTGTTTGAAGACCGGTGGCTTCGCTGCGTTCCCATGGGAGCTAAAACTTTTTCTTTCTTTATTTTTCCTCAGGTAAGTTCGCTCTTTGCAAATTTTACAAAACAAATGCTCCATCTGTGGGCAACGCTGCAAAAAAATGGTAGGCGATAGGTTAAGAAACCGAATTTCGTGGTCGATTTAAAGAGCCTGGCCTCTACTTGGGACACCCGGTACTTTTTGCGTTGCGCCAAAGAGCGAAACGGAAAAGTATAATCCGTTTCGCAAGAGCGAAACGCATTATACAAATGGTGGTAAAAAGTCAATTCTAACACTTCCTCCTTTCCATTGTAAAATGCCCATTAAGCAGCCGCATCTATCCTGTTCCTCGCAGTAGGTTTGGTTTGTTCTTACATCCATATAATACCACTATTTGATTCAAAAGTAGGTCACGCGACCACTCGCATTATTTTGTGATGTCTTTCCCCGTTCGTATTTGTAGTGCATTTAACGACACCATCCGTGGTTAATGATGGGCACCATTTGAAGAAAATTTAACAAATATACTACTTGCTTGAGTGGCACTCAACGTATATGTTGTGATTCTCAGATCAATAAAATCTAAGCCAGAGGAATCAATATAAAAATTACAGGCGAGCTTCTGTTTGTGGTTCTGCATTGCTGCCACTCCAGAAAGTTGGTCCACACCTTTCTAGCTCTTACGTCGCAAATGCTTTTATATGAACTTCCTAGCGAGACTATACCAACCCATTGGTATGTCTCTTATAAAAGCAGGCCTTTGTTAGAAAAAATCGTCAACCAGCGTGCTTGAGGCTCTTCCAAGACATTCTTAAATAGAGCCGGATAAAAATCTATATAGATGAACTCAGAGAGAAATAGAGTCGAGCCTGTGTACACGAGAAACAACCAGAAACCTTTGATTTACGAGACTATGTAGAGCGTTTTAAGACACCCTAATTCTTTTGGTTGAGGAGTTTCTCACAGAATCAGTGGCAACAAAAGTTGGCAGAAAGTAACTATTTTAGTTAAAGAGGGCTTAATATGCAGCATGATTTGCGAAAGCAAAGGCGCCGGTTCTTGTCAAGAAATTGGAGTGGTCGCGTGTTTGGGAGCAATCCGCCAGTAAAACACCCGATATGTAAAGTCTCTGGTTACTGCAAACCTGCGCTTCGTGAGAAATGCCTTTCTCGCCTAATTTCCCTGAACACACTCAATGTTTAGGAATTGGCATGCCAGGTAGTTATTCTCTCTGTTAAATCCTTTTTATGCAAAATAATTTACACTATTCATTTTGACAGTACTCTACAGTTTAGTTTCAGCGAACCATGCTACTCAATCAGCTGTACCTCAATGAGTAACCATATTGAGTTCTGTCGAATGCAGTGTCTTTAATTTCTAGGCTGGCCGCTAAAACGAACAAATAAACTAGGTCCCATAGCGGACTGCCATAAATAATCTTGTTTTTATTTTCTTCTGCTATATTTGTTACACGACTCTGCTTCTTAATTCGAGGACATTCATGTAGCCAACAAGTATGGCACATACCATAATACATAGCTGGTGATATCCGTTGACCATGATGTAAAGCCACCTCCCTACCTTTACAGGTGTGCTATAAATAAATAGATACGTACTTAATTACACATACTTGCAGTGTATCCTTAGAAGAGAGCAGGGGAAAACGAGAAATATGAGGTCTCCAGAATGAGCTCTAAAATCTCCCAATCAAACGCTCTCTGTTGAGAGGGCTTCCCGAAGAGATTTTTAATTGTTTTAGAGCACGGGAGGGAAACTAAATAATCGTAACTACTGTATGTTACATCCGCACATAAGCAAAGTGCGAGTAGGTTACCAGCTTTGAACTCGTGGCAAAAAACAAACAAAAGCTTTATCTGATGAATATTGCTTCTAAATGTCATTAAGTGTTACCACAGATCCTTTCTTCTCATATCCGGCGCGCCTCTCATTCGTAAATAAACCCTGAGCAAAAAAAATCAAAATCAATTAAGAAACCTTATCTGGGTACTGATTGTATCACTCACCTTAAACAGGCTGGCAATTCAGACGGGTTCTGTTGATCAAAACAACTGAATTCACGACCAACGTCACCACATTGACAGACACTTCGAAATCAGACACTCAAACATAAACCGGCGACATAATAAAAAGGAAATATTTATTTAAGTTTTGGCGGCTATATACACCGAGAAAAAAATAAACAAACCAAACACATTTTGGCACAGTGTTGAAAAGTTGAGATCACAGTCATCGCACAATACTGACCAAAACGTTCCTGCCCCGCTGCATGGGAGCACTTTGGCACTCTCGCACTGTCCATTCACTGGTCTTGTTGAACACGTAACGGGGAAAAAAAAAAACAGCGGGAAATTTGTCATGGATGCAACACTCCCCACGAACGAGTAAAAACATTCAAGACGAGCGCCCATCCAACAAAAAAAGGGGTTCCAAGCAGGAGCCGAGACTTTTGTTATTTTTCCGGGGGGCGGGGGGGGGGGGGGGGGGGGTAGGGGGGGGGGTAGGGGGGGGGGGGGCTGAATGATTACGAAACACTGGTTCCAAGCATTTGCCGATGGACAGAATGAGCTTGTTTGGCGCCTTGGCGGTCACTAAAGGCTGGTTCGCACATTTGCGTTTGACACAGTTCGCAACCGGTAACAATGAAAGAACACGATCAAATCTTAGCACTATCTACGAGGAATGGTCGCTGATAACACTGTCAGAGTTACATCAGGTTCACGGTGAAAGAGAGAAGCGCAAAAGACTATAGAAACATTTACGCTGATCGAAAGGGGCTTTAGGACTACCTAATAGATGGCGCCACAGTGCCAGCGTGTTGAAAGCCCCTCTAACCTGTGAAAACTGGCACGAGTGGCGCGCACGCGCCACTTCTGGGGAGAACATGGCGTCTAAAATCTAGCTCAGTGTTGCACTATGCCGCCATGATCTTCCCATGGGTAGGACGTTGCACGTGCCTCCGGCATCGACGCACCTTGCGTTACTTTTAAAATATGAAGTAAGCGTGTTACGAGAATAATCCCTGGAGAAGGAAAACAAGAGGGACAAAAGACAAACACAAATCTCCATCCACAACTAGGTGACTGGTGCGCGACCGAAAAAATCCGCCTGGTCCGGGTATCGAACCCGGGACCTCTTCATTACAGGTGGAGCGCTCTTCCATCTGATCTAACCAGGGGTTAGACGTCAATAGAGCAAACAGGTTTTATCAGCCGCCACCAGTCTAACACCAACAAGGGTGAAACCTTGCAGTTTAAGGTTATGATTATAATGCAATTAAATGCAAAGGTGCAAGCGAGCTGGACAGCTCGCTTGCACCTTTGCATTTAAATTGGATTATAATCAAAGCGTGTTAAGCGGCTATGCCCGAGTCCCACTAGAGCGACAAACAAACAAACGACAGTGACAAGCCTCAAAAGTTTGCAGCATGCTCGCGATGGTACCCTTTGCAGGCGTTTAGTCGTTCGGTGCTCGTGAAGTAAGCACGAGTGATTGCAAGCCTGCCAAAGATACCCTCGCGTGCATGATGCTCGTGTTTGAGCATAGCATCCTTCATTCTACAAAGACTGTCAAATCCCGAAAGTGTCTGGTTCGAGGCTTGTCGCTGTCGTTTGTTTCCGCTTGTTACTCTAGCGGCACTCGGGCATTAGAGAGGAACGCAACGCGCAGAGCGCAGTCAAACGCAAATGTGTGAACCAGACTTCGGGGACACGCCACCGTTTCCCATTTCTTACTTGACTCTGGCGGAATAGAGAGCACCGCAAGATCGGGGCCGCAAACGGACCTCTCACGAACGTACAAAAACGCGTAACTTGAGTATACAAAATGCAACGCCTCATTTTAGCCACCTACACATCCATATGGCACGTTGATTCACGAGGGTGACATGATGCTATAGATCAACAACACCGCTGGAACATATCACCAGCAGCAACACCCTCACTAATCACCAGTAAAAAGTGAGCTGAGGAGGGGCTTGTCGCTCTTTCTTCGAGCGTGCTTCGTGTTGTTTGTCAAAAAAGAACAAGTGCAGAAATCATCCGCGAAAATATATTTGAACTTAGAAGTAGTAATGCGCTTAACTCTGACCGAGAAACTGACTGAAGACAGGATTGTTGGCGGTTGGTTCGCACTTTGGCGACACCGTGAAGAATGATGAGCTAACTTTCGACTGGCGTGACTAAAGCAACCCAGGTTGCCGATAGCGGTTTTTACAGCGGAGCCGTTAAGGGCTAGTTTCCCCAGGATCGTGTCCCCCGCAAAGAAATTAAGACACCGAGCTCTTGACACCTACCGCCATTTATGAGCGACGGCAACAAGGCACGTATCTGGTTGCCGCCGTCGCTCATAGATGGCGGCAGCCTTTTCGCTCTGGCTTGCGGACTTGCGGCCGGCCATTACTTTCCGTTGTACAGCTCCACTGGTCTTCCTTCTTCACCAAAATGGAAAAGCTGGAAGTCTTTTTTTTTTTTTTTTCCTACCTACAAATGTAATATTTGCGCTATGGCAACCAGACCAATGCTTTTGCCGCGTAGCTTGATAAACTTGCAAAAACTGAATACAACATCCCAAAATACGCACTTTTTCTGCATAAACAGCCTTTGTCATGTTGTTGCCTTTTTAGCTGAAGTTTTTTTTTCACGTTTCATGAACATATATAATTCGATGTGAAGTTATACGAGTACTGGGCCAGCCTCGAGTGTGCCGATTGCTGAGAGGCGATAAGTAGAACGCAAGTGTACATTGAAATACAAAAACAAAAAGTGTAAATACTTGCAGTTTATCTATGTTAACTCGAATCTAGAATCGTTACCGATTTATTATCGCGAGCTACGTAAATCCTGCCAGAAGAACAGCAACCAAAAACGTATGTGCATGTACACACACGTGTAACAGCCGCCAATTATTGCTATCAACGAAAGGACCCTACTGTTAGAATAGAAGGCGCGGGTAATTTTGGCCTAAAGGCAACATCTGCTTTAAAAAATGTTATGCGGACTTCGTAATTCCCTTAAGTGTTCTCACTGGTAGCAGCCTAATTGCGAAGAATCCCAAGACCGAGAAAAAAAAGCGACATGTAAGTGCTGTCTTTTTTTTTTTTTTTTTTTTTGTCTGTATTTGATTATACAGGTCAAGGCCAATAGGGCGATAAATGAGAAAAAAATAGAGTTTAAGACTCGGTCTCGGGATCTTCGTGATTACACTAAATTTACACCAAATATTACGTCATGATAGCAGCGATGGATTTCATACGCGCCCCGTCCCAGTTTCAATGCTGAGCGCCGGAATGATTTTCAAAATGTCATTAATGAAAAGGTAAAGAAGCGCAAGGTGTCGATAATTGTACTCCGCGACCCCTTGCTTGTACTCCGTTGTTCTTATTTGGGCCTAGTGATAATCAGATCAACTGCTCGACACACTCTTTCTTAGCTGTTAAAAAGTGCAATGCAAAGGAACCTGCGAGCCCACGTCACTGTAAAGAACGCAGGAATAAAATTACCGCAATCAACACCGCTCGAGAAACATCTGCACGCCCAGCATTTCCAAGAAGCGCAAAAGAGGTCAATCATTTTGGTAGAGAGGGACACACCCTGACACGCAAATGCCACCTGAGCTAAGACAATGAGCATGACACTTTGGAAGCGTATGGTCCCAGCGCACACTTTCGTTCCTGGATAGAAAATTTCTCTGGGTCCTGACATTAAATGGAGTTCTTCCGTAGAATATAATGACTGCTTCTCCGCCTGAGTGTTTCTCGGTGACACTGAGTTCTGTATGTTTAAAGACGTATAGAAAGACGGAACTAGTCAAGAGTTTGGATTCAACATAACGATAAACTAACATTGAACATTAATCTGTAGAGACTCAGTGTTCCGAAACACGTTAAAGTTGTCATGTACATCATCTCTTCGTGCAGTTCACTAGAATCACCTTGTTTCGTAGACTGGAGTGCTTGACTTTCAGTGACCTTTCCAGGGTGTAGACACACGGGGCGTTTTACAGTGTGCAGTTGAGTTAGGTTTAGCTGCCGGCCAAACCGAGCAGCATTGTTGCTCGGCTGGCCAACAAGCCCTGGTGCCAAGGGCCAAACCCGTTGGTCTCGCACGGGCGTTACGAAACACCTATCCTAACGTACTCACTTTAGTTCATTAGTGCACATCAACGCAGATGATACGCCAATCGGTATACGGTACAAAACAAACGTATAGCCCCCGTAATATTAAAAGTTGTATCAAATTATGACTTTCTCCGGTGCATCTCAGACACTGGTAGCACAGCGCTCACTTTGTACTTGGAACCCTGTTCGCACCAACAGGCTCTTGTTCATCTACCCCAAGCTCTACTTTACATTTATCTCAACCTCCCGGAACATATCGAACAACCTCCAAAAGGTGGCCGATTACATTAAGTTTTGGCTTATGGCACAACTTCCCCCTACCATCACAGACTAATCCCATTTTCTTTCGCAGGACCACGTTGAGTTTAACCTTCCTTTTTTTTTTTTTTTTTTTCAAGGGCACCCATATGGATCGCTTCTTCTCATTTGAATTCATTGATGTGGTGTTAAACTAGCTCGTTGATTGAGAGTCATAACGGTAAGGGGCAACCCTCAAGGCTCGCCTTGTAGGCCGCCCGTACCAGGCCAGAAGTAACGATACACACAATGGCCCCATTTGGACGGGCATTTTTCAGCCAAGAAGACCGACCACGTTCAGACCATGACCCTGAAACGGAGCTGCTGAGCCTCATTCCGCCGTATCGGAGTCGTCCTCGGCGACAGCCTTGTTGTCTCCGTGGAACGCCTTCTGGCTCAGTGCCTTCACCTTGAGCCTCCAGTACTTCCGCTGCAAGTCCGCGACGGCGTGCTGTTTCTTCAGCAGCTCGATCTTGAGCTTGTGCTCTTCCTCCGCGTGCAGACGCTGCAGCTCCGCCAGCTGGCGTTCTGCGAGGGCACGTGCCGCCGCGAAGTTGGCCGTCCTGCCGTTGTCTCGGCGGTCCTCGGCGGCGCCATCGGCAGAGCTGTCGTCGGCCAATTCGACGTTGGCGACGATCTCCTCGACCTCACCGTTGCTCTCCATCACCGGGGCCCCGGTGGCGGTACGAGCGTACGTGCGGGACACGCCGTCCGGAGACCTCGGGTTGATCCGCACGTCCAGGGGCTCCTCGTCGGTGTTTATGTGGCGGCTGTTGTTTCTAGCCGGCGTGCAGCTTCTGTTGAGGTTGGTGTGGCAGCCGTCCGACGAGCGAAGAGGAGAGTCGGGAGGGTCAGGCACCTCCACTTTGATACGGGGCAGGAACGGCGACGGGAGGCTGGGGAAGCCCAAAGGCTGCGGCGTGGACCGCAGGAAGAACTCCATCTCGCGGAACCGGTTGTGTTCTTCCGCTGCACGAAAAGGACAGAAGAGGAAGAGTACGGTCAGTAGATGATGGCGAATCTCGATCAGACAACATGTTCTTTTCCGAAAACATCGCGCAATCAATTCTTTTATTGATAAACTGGCTCTACTATGCTAGCTTGAAGAATCTGTAGCGTCTACCTTCCCGCAAAGTACTTGGGAGAGATCAAGAAAGTATCTGCGCTGTGGCACTGATCATGAAGCTTCACCATGTTGAATGCCGCAGCGTACTGTTTTTCCCTTCTTTTTTTTTCTTTTTTTTTTTTTTTTTGGGGGGGGGGGGGGGGGTTTAGACATATGTTTAGGCTCGTCCTTCGCCAATCTCCCCACGTAGATTGCAGTGATTGACTGTTCCAAGTTTTTACTCTTTTCCGGAAAGTAGACGCTCTATATTGCTTAGAGTGTATACAGAAGCTCCACAACAACAGTTCGGACGAAAGACCAATGACAAATAGAAGATTGGACAGTAAAAGCGCTTGTCCTGTCCAGTTTTCTATTTGTCCTTTGTCTTTGCAGCTATCTGTTTTTCTATCTTCAATGTGTAACCAACTAGACCATCAACGTATATTGTGCGCAGTAGATTTTGAATGAAAACAAAAATTCTACGACTGAAGAAAGTTGGGGTTAATTGTACGAACATTCGGTCGAGCAATAAAAAAATCGGTTTTCGAAGAAACACCAACGAAAACGTGCCCAATATTGTTCGAATAGTCACAGGTAATTTGATCGCCCGTTCGGCGTCGTTTTATACTATAGTCACCGACAAGATAAGAACGGCACGAAGGAGCTTCAGTGGTAACCCCTCCAGCACGAGCTTCCTAACTTCGACAATACCTTGGGGCGCCGCGTGCACCTCGAAAGCGCGCGCGGAGACCAAGCCCGGCGGAAGGCATGGAGCGCGTGCTCAAGCAATATCCCTTTGGCTGGAGCCCGTGCGTTCGAACCAGCCGTTTTCATCCTGTAAAGGGGTATTCACACGAGGGAGAAATCCCGGGGATTTCTCCCCGGCACGCGCATCCCACGACGAAAACGTCTGGCTTTGCCATGTGCAAAAGCCTCGCGTTTCGTCTCGTGATGCGCGCGTGCCGGGGAGAAATCCCCGGGATTTCTCCCTGGTGTGAATACCCCTTAAATGACTATGCGATGAAAAACTGAAAGAGAGGAGGAGGTGAGAGCGCGCGAGGACATCAGAACGCCGAGCTCTGGTTGGACTGATTAGTGGTTATGACTAAAGCTTGCTGCCTTTGTCTCCACTGGACTCGTCGAACGCGGTGGAACGCGGAACGCCGGGGTCCGGCATTTGGCTTTCGCGTTCGAACGCGTTCGACGGGCGCAGTGGAGACAAAGGCACCAAGCTTTAGTCATCACCACTAATCCCCCCAACCAGGGCTCGGCGCTTGTGACGTCCCCGCGCGCTTTCGCCTCCTCCTCTCCCTCAGTTTCTCGGAGCATACAACAAACTAAACACACATTTGCCGCTATACTCCCCTCAGTAACGGGGGGGTTAGTAGGTTGTGAGTGCGTCGTTTTTCCCGGTCACTCGAGCGCTTGTTACCATCAGGCTACCTATTGTACGTGCATAAAATGCAGCGCAATTAAACTGGCACAGCAAATCTCCACCATTTTTGCCTTTCAGATTAAAATCTAAAGTCGCGTGACGCGTTGCGACGCCAAGCGCGCCGCAGGATGCCCAAAGAGCTATGAGAGGACACGAGCAAGTTCTGCTGCCTATATTTAGGATAATCCGAGTTCGACGACTCGGCTCCAAAAACCGGAACGCTCCGAGTTGACGTGCTTTCAATTTTGACAAGGTTGGTCGCGAGCCTCTCCAATCCCACAAACAAGAGATGCACTCCATCCGGGCGGCATCAATGTCTCGCTGGCGTAAGTGGGGCCGCGCCACAGCAGACATGCACACACGAACGCAAACACAAAAGAGTGCCGTGAACTGGTTAGGCTTCGGTGGGGCTGTGGCTCACAAGACCATACACAGGCACACAGGCAACGCCAAATAAAGAGAGAAAAAAATGGAAAAGAAAACACGTACTACCGTGGGAGAATTCGACCGTACGATTTGTTGTGTAGTTTTGCCAAACTCTCGCGGCTGCGCGGTAGTAGTCGCTCCGCCAGACTTTAAGTTTATGAAGCCTCTCCTCCGAAGCCAATCGATCAACTTTCGTGCGAGCGCGGCATTCCAATTTAAGTCTGCTTTGTGACTGGACAATCAACTTGTAAGAAACATATAAAAAGCCATTCCGAGCTGCGCTTCACTTATCTTCGGTCGTTGTCCCGGGGAGAAATCCTCGTAAGTTTTTGATACTCTTAATACATCGATCTCACCAACCAGCTTGACTACGCCACCGCTGCCGCAATGCATCGAGGGAACTGTAGTCTTTCTACACGTGCGACGACCTGGCTGGAGCTCTGGGCGTGCAGGGCACGAACAGTCTCGTGCACTGCCGATTGCCTCCTGTGAACTAAAGTTATGACTGCCTCGCGCATGCGTCGAATGCTTGGTAAGATCGGTCTATTCGAGCGGATCCTCAAAGGCATTAGCAAGCTCCATCTCCAAAACAGGCTTGGGGGCGCACAAGAGCGCTCTGCCTGGGTCGTCTCAGGTTCGAACGTTGGAGTAAAGACGCGGGAACGTTAAACTCCCCAATTCCATCGCAAGGAATGGTGGTGGCGCAAGCTTGTCATGCGCTTGCGTGTAAGCCTTATATCGGCACCGCCTTTACGTCGAAATATTTGACATGCTCAGTACGTAAAACCCAATTGGGGCTGGTCCAGAGAATCGCTGCTAGCCTATCGTTCCTCCATTCTTCGCTGTGCTTAATTTGTTCTTGTTGTGCCTGTAGTAGATGCAGTAATTGCAGTTGTAGTAGTAAACTGCAATGCTTTCAGGATCAGTGAGTGTAGCACAATTTCCATTTGACAAATGAGACCGCCGAAATATGACGATAACTCACTCGGCGGGCTCTAAGCATCCTAGGAATCTATAAATCATAACGACGCGCGGCCTGGACCTGTGACCAATGAAAACGTGACATTTCGTTGACATTGCGAGCGCTGTTATTACAAAATGCGTATGCTTTTGTAGACCATAAAAGCAAATAATAGTAGTCGGAAAATGTTAATATTTCGCGGAGAGGAGAACATAATACTGCGCGCTCGCTGGGTTGAATTGTAGTCCAGGCTGTATGGGCAACGGGCCGCGCGCCCATACAGCCAGGCTGTATGGGCAACGGAGGTGCGAGGATCCTTCGCTTGTTATTGGATGATAGCGACTCTGGTTTAGGAACATGTTCCTCCCATCGCCGGAGATCACCTCGGTGTGCTGCGATCTTTGATTTTTTTTTTTTTTTTAATAGGGATATCGGCCGCGTATCGTCATGATTTAGGGATATCCAGTATGCTTAGAGCCAGCAGAGTGAGTTATCACCATACTTAGGCAGTTTTAAAAATTTCCTCATGGCACCTTTAATAAATGTACAAACAGTCATTTCTGGTACGCGTATAATGATTATTTTTTTTTACCGCAGTCTGATGATCTTGTATGTTGTAAACACTTTTACATTTCTTGTAGCTCAAGTTTTTTTTTTTTTTTTGCCTTTTTCCAGGGGAGGCTGGAGTTGCGTGCCGAACTAACAAAATAATATGGTGCAACACCAGCAGAGATAATGAATTTAGAACAAAGGCAAAAGATGAGTTTCACGGCAATAAGTACACGTCAATTTATAGCCACATGAAATAAATTCGAGCCCCTTATGGAGCGACACGAAGGCTGCTTGGGCCCAAGGCCTTATTCACTCATACACGTATGTCCAGCCTCGTGTAGTCACTCTTGCTGGAAGAAACCATCATTGAAAACAGGTTAACTAAAATTGTTTGATGAGCGCCAGAGGAGGCAACATTCCGAATTTTCATCTTATAGATTTTTTGACGCGGAAGGTGAAGTACAGCGATGCACAAGCCTGGAGCAATCGGAAGAAGCTCTTCAATAGAAAATTTACGCATCTACCGCTAAAGTAAAAAAAAAAAAATCCTTTGCAAAAGGGTTGCACAGTACACACGATAACGCAACACCATACTTCCGGATTCTCAAACTTGTTCCTTGAGAGGGCATTCAAATACACCTTGCAGCCGATTTTTTTTCCGCTCCGATAAATTTAAAGTTAGAACACTCGCATTCGTGTCCATGGCCGGTCAGCGAAACAGCATTCCTCACGCTCGCAGGTACATGTACACACAGGTACACACACGTTACACACACACACAAAGAAAGGGAGACATACCCAATAATATTGAAATACGAGAAAGCTTGTATTCAGATTACACACACCGGCTAAAAAGAAATTAAAAAAAAAACGGGTGCCCGAGAAGAATCCGCGCGACGTCTATTAAATAATGCTCGGTACGGATTTCCATCTCAGAAAGCTCCAGCAGGCCATAAAAAGAAACAAAATCGAAGCTTTGGAAAATACCGAGCCTGCCTCCACAAGAGTCGATCTCTCTCTTGAGGCAGAGATAAGCCCAGAGGGAAAGATGGTCCGCAAAGGTAATCATGACTTCTTTGAAAATGCAAAGCCACGCTCGCAGAAGGTCAGTTGTGTCCCGGGCTGCCTCATGGTAATGCGGAATGTGGACTTTAGTGCCGAATCGTGCTCGTCGCGAGCGAACGCTGCGGCACTGCATCGAAAACAGGTCCTGTCGTATGCCTGGCTAGCAAATATAGTGTCTCGTTCGCTCGCGACCGTTAAAGACCCGATCCGGTCTCTACCTCGTTAAGTTCTTCAGGATAAGAAATGCAACGTGTCCCTAGTTCTTTTGAGTTTTTTTCCTTTCGGGCACGCGCAAAAGAAAACTTGCCTTTAAACGACCATAGTTACTCCGAGCCGATTAAACATTTTCCCCGCTATTAAAGGGGTCATGAAACGATATCGGGTCGGAATGTTCATTACAGAGGCGTACTGGTCCTGGTCTGGCC